CGAACTCTGAGCTGGGAGGGCACTGAGAGATGAATGGCCCTGCTGATAACTGTGTGAACCATGGCCAGATGCTATACCACGGTGGAATGGGTGAGCCGTCTGAGCATGTATGAAAGGACGACCCCTATCGTGGTGGAACTGCCCCCAGAAGGAACACCGCTAAATCCACCCTGTCCACGAGGCCTCTTGGCCTCCCTCTCAACCCTTTCCTGATTGTGAACCATCTAAATTTGACGAGCAACTTCGACAACCTCATCAAAAGTAGCACCAGACACACTCTCTCTAGTCATAAGCAATCGCAGCTAAANAAAATGATGCCATCTATAAACCTCCTGATCCTCTCCCTGTCTATGGGAACCAACCAGATAGCATGACGGGCCAACTTCAAGAATCGCATCTCATACTGCGTCACAGACATATCACCCTGACGAAGCTGCTCGAACTGCCTGCGCAACTCCTCTCTGCGGGAATGTGGCACGAACTTCTCCAGGAATAGACCGGAGAACTACTGCCAGGTAAGTGGTGCTGCACTGACCGGCCTACGCCTCTCGTAAGCCTCCCACCAACGGAAGGCAGCCCCAGAGAACTGAAAAGTAGTGAACGAGACCCCACTGACCTCTAGAATACCTGCTGTACGGAGTATCCTCTGACACCTGTCCAAGAAACCCTGTGCATCCTCTCCCTCGGTACCACTAAAAGATGGAGGCTGGAGTCTCTCAAACCTCTCCAATCTACGCTGCTCATCCTCAGGCATAGCAGGAACCACATAGTCCTGAGCAACTACAACCGGCTGGGCTGGTGGTGCCCTCGGTGTCTGAAATCCCTGTACCACCTGCTCTGGTGTGCGGGCAGCGAGAGTCTGAGCACCTCCCCCAGCCTGAGAAGTGGCTGCTGCGGCCGGAACAGAGACCGCCTGAGCAGACTGGTACACGCGGTCAGAATCTGAGCTAAGGCCTCCTCAAGGCAGGGAATCCCAATTGGCACAGGTGGTGCCTGAGCTGGTGCATAAACAACTGGAATCTGGTCCTGATCTGGGGCAACTTGTGGATCTGCAGGTACCGTCCCAGTTGCTGTGCGGGCTGCACCTCTACCCCTACCGCGACCTCGGCCTCTCGCGGCCCTGGCTGGTGGTACTGGTGGCTGTCCATCCTGCCCAGTAGTACGAGTCCTCACCATCTGGAAGCACATGTGCGAGGTTAAGGCTGGGTTGGACTGGAAGCGCAGGTGCGAGGTTAAGGCTGGGTTGGACTGGAAGCGCAGGTGCGAGGTCAGGAGCGCATCTGCGAAACCGCAGATGCGGAAGGGAGGCACAGATGCGGAAAAGGCTTGAGTGGGAAGGATCGCAAAAGCGGGCAGGGCCCGCAGGTGCGCACCCGCAGGTGTGTCACGACCCAAAATCTAACACATTGTGATGGTGTCTATCGCGATACTAGGCAAGCCGACCTTTCCAAAACACTTTCAAAATTTAACAGAAATGAACTAAGACATTTAAAATAATAGGAGTTTCTCATAAATACGGGGGTAAAACCCAAATAAAACATAAGTGCGGAAAAATAGCCGACATCGGGGTGTCACTAAGTCATGAGCATCTAATAACCAATTTAGAAACAGAGTCTACTACAGTCTGTGCCAAATGCCAATACAAGAGAGAATATAATAAGAAAGGAGAAACAAGGACTGCGGACGCTGACAGTTACCTCGTAAGTCTCCGATAATCAGCCCGCGCACGAACTCAGCGACCGTCAGAACCATACACACCTGGATATGCACATGAAGTGCAGGGTGTAGCATGAGTACAACCAACTCAGCAAGTAACATAATTAAATAAGGAACTGAGAAGCAGTGACGAACTATAATAATACAGATCATTTCAAAAGTTTTCAGCAAAGAGTGAACATGCTTTCAAATTCGGTGGTATAAGTCAAATCAGTTTGAGCTCAAGTAAAACAGATATGAATCTTCCAGAAATTTCACAACAACATCAGATAGCAACTAAGTGCAATAATAAATAAAAGCAAGTACAACCTCTCAAGGCAGCAGTCACTCAACTCATCTCATCAGCTCATACTCTCGGCTCTCAGCCCACAATACACACTCTCAATAGGTACCTGCGCTCACTGGGTTGTACAGATTCTGGAGGTTCTCCTTTCAGCCCAAGCGCTATATCGCTGCAGCGTACAACCCGACCCAATCATATAAGTAGCGATAAGGCTCATTGCGACGTGCAACCCGATCCACAGTCCATAAATAGCCATAAGGCTCGTTGCGGCGTGCAACTCGATCCATATACCCTCACATAGTTCACAGCTCGTCACTCAGACCCTATCTCAGTCACTAACCTCTCCAGCCCCTCGGGCTCAAAGAATATCATAATAATCAGCCCAAACAGAGAATACAACAAGTATCAACAAGAAATGAGAGGGAACAGAGATATAACACACAAGTAGGACTGTGACCGAATACAAGACATCAATTAGCAGTCAATTCAAAAAGTATACGACCGCTGCGGGTCCTAACAATGATATCATATGGCCTAAGCATGGTTTCTAACATGAAAGACAGTCAATTTCCCAAAGACAAGGAAAAATAAGTAATAACAATGGCTATTCGACTTTACAATCACATAGGACGGACCAAGTCACAATCTCTCGCGGTGCACGCTCACACGCCCGTCACTTAGCATGTGCGTCATCTCTAAACACTCACATCATACCAATCCTCGGGGTTCCATACCCTCAAAACCAGATTTAAGACTGTAACTTACCTCAAACCGCGTAAAATTCTACTCCGTAATGCCTTTGCCTCTCGAATTAGTCTCCAAATTCCCCGAATCTAGCCACAAGCAGTACAAGATAATTAATATAGGCTAAAGGAATCAATTCCACAAGAAAAATACGAAGTTGCAAGCCAAAATCTGAAATTGGTCAAAAGTCGGCCCCGGACCCACGTCTCGAAATCCGATAAAAGTCATAAAACCCAAAAGCTCATTCACTCACGAGTCTAACCATACCAAATTTACTCCAATCCGATAACAAAATCCCATTCAAAACCCCAAAAATCTAACTCAAGAACACTTCATCTTCTTCCCCAATTTTCACCCCAAATCTCAAATTAAATGATAAAATTAAAGATATAATCATGGGTTTTAACCAAAACCAAGTAGGAATCACTTACCCCAATCAACTCCACAAAAATCCCTTCAAGAATTGCCCAATTCCGTGTTCTCTAGCTCAAAATATGCAAATTGGGTTTAAACCCTCGTTTTTGAAATTAATACAGTCTACCCAGATTTCCTTCTTCGCGAACGCGACCATCATCTCGCGTTTGCGTAGACCAACTCAGATTGCCTCTCAACTCAACTCTTCGCGAACGCGAAGCTTTGCAAACTCAGACCTTCGCGAACTCATCCCTCACCTCACGAACGCGTAGAACAAAAGACTGGGGGTCCCCCTTCGCGAACGCGACGCCACTCACGCGTTCGCGATGCACATACTGCCATACCTTCGCGTTCGCGTCCTCTCCTTCGCGGACGCATAGAGCAAAAATCTCACCAACTCAGAAACACTCTTCGCGAACGTGAGGCAACTTTCGCGAACGCATAAGAGAAAACCAGAAAAATGCAGCAGCAGATATCAGCTATCTCACCAAGGCCAAAAATGATCCGCTAAGCATCCAAAACTCACCCAAGGTCTCCGGGATCTCAACCAAACATACCAACCAATCCTAAAACATCATACAAACTTAGTCGAGCCTTCGAATCACTCAAATCAATATCAAAACACCAATGACACCCGGATTCAAGCCTAAAGAACTTCTAAACTTTCAAATTCCACAAACGACGCCGAAACCTACCAAACCACGTCCGATTGATCTCAAATTTTGCACATAAGTCATATTCAATATTAGGACCTAATCCCACTTTCGGAATTGGAATTCGACCCCGATATCAAAAAGTCAACCATCTAGTTAAACTTCCTAAAATTCGACTTTCGCCTTTTCAATCCTAAATTAGCTACAGACCTCAAATTCATAGTCCGGACACGCTACCAAGTCCAAAATCACCCAACGGAGCTAACAGAACTGACAGAACTCCATTGCGGAGTCGTCTTCACACACTTCCGACTATAGTCAAAATCCCGAGACTTAAGCTTCCGTTTTAGGGACTAAGTGTCCCAAAACACTTCGAAATCAAAAACAAGACCTCCCATCAAGTTATTTAAGCAAAAACAGATATGGAAAAAATAGTAAATAGGGGATCGGGGCTAATACACTCAAAACGACCGGGCGGGTCGTTACAAGGTACGAATATATGACCGTAGATGCGGAATCTGGGAGTTTAAGTGGGCTCCGCACTTGCGATGGAATTTCTGCAGGTGCGGCGTCGCAGATGCGATAGAAGGTCCGCAAGTACGGTTTTGCTGGGCAGAACCTATAAATAGAAGATTTCGAGATTTTTCACCATTTTCACATTTTGGAACTCGGATTTTGGAGGATTTTGAGGAGGATTTTGAAGTGTTTGCTGAGGTAAGTTCCTTGTGTCTATTAATCTTCAATAATGATGTTTACCCACTGATTTTATACCTAGTTGGTGAGTTTTTGAGGTGAGATTTGGGAGATTAGGGCTTGGGAATTGGAGAGTGAAATTTGGGGTTTTGGAGGGGCAAATGGTGTCGGATTTTGATAAATTTGGTATGGTTGGACTCGTGAGTAGATGGGCTTTCGGGTTTTGTGACTTTTGTCGGGTTTCAAGACGTGGGCNTGGTTGGACTCGTGAGTGAATGGGCTTTCGGTTTTTGTAACTTTTGTCGGGCTTCGATTCGTGGGCCCGTGGGACCGGGTTGAGCCTATTTCGGATTTTGACTTATAATTTCGTGTTTTGCTTGTGGAATTGATTCCTTTAGCCTACATTAATTATATCGTACTGCTTGTGGCTAGATTCGGGGCGTTTGGAGATTGATTCGAGGGGCAAAGACATTGCAGGGTTGGATTTTGCGCGGTGTGAGGTAAGTAACAGTTTTAAATCTGGTCCTGAGGGTATGAAACCCCGAATTTTGGTATGATGTGACTATTTTGGAGGTGACAAGCGTGTGGGCATGCACAGTGGGAGATTGTGACTTGGTCCGTCCCGTGAGACTGTAAAGTCGATTAGACTATTGCTAATTACCTGTTCCCTCTGTGTTATAGAGATTTGACTGCAAATCATGTTAGAAATCATTCTTAGGCTATGTGATAGTACGGTTGAGACCCGCAGAGGGCGCGTACCTTTGAATTATTTGCTAATTGCGGTCTTGTGCTTAGTCATAATTATACTTGTACATCATATCTCAGTCTTTTCTTGATTCCTGTTGATACACTGTTATTTTGTTTGGGCTGATCTTTATGATTTCTGAGGGCCGTGAGACTAGAGAGGTACATGACTGAGTGAGGCCGAGGGCTTGGTTGTGAGGTATAGATACCGTAGCACGTGAGTTGTCCGTACAAATCATGATGTTTATACTTAGCACGTGCGTTGTCTGTGCGGACTCTGATATGATATTGTAGCATGTGAGCTGTCCGTGCGGATCTTGATATGATACGATAGCACGTGAGTTGTCCGTGCCACACGTGAGTTATCCGTGCGGATTATAGCGCTTGGGTTGTAGGAGCCCCTCCGGAGTCTGCACACCCCCAGTGAGCGCATGTACCTATTGAGTGTGAGTATTGAGGGCTGAGAGCCGAGTGATTGAGCTATTGTGACGAGTTGAGTGTCTGTTACCCTGAGAGGCTGTACTTGTTTTTCATTTGTTGATACACTTAGTTGCTATCTGTCATGGTTGTGGAATTTCTGAAAGATTCTATATCCGAATTACCTGCACTGTAATTGTATAAACTGATTTGAATTGAACTGCCGGATTTGAAAGCATATCTATTCTTTGCTGGAATTACTGAAAATGAACTGTATTTGTATAGCTCGTCGCTACCTTCTCAGTTCCTTATTTATTTCTGTTACTTGTTGAGTTGGTTATACTCATGCTACACCCCGCACTTTATGTGCAGATCCAGGTGTGTTTGATCACGAAGGTCGTTGAGTTCGTGCGCGATCTAGTACCGAAGACTACGAGGTAGCTACCGACGTTCGCATACCTTGTCTCTTCTTCTATATTTCTTTCTTTCTTTCTGTATTGATACTTAGACACTGTTTGTATTAGACTGGATATCTAGATGCTCATGACTCAGTGACACCTCGATGTCGGGCTATTTTTTCCCGCACTTTTGCTTTGGATTTTACCTTGTTTTTATGAAAGACTCCGGTTATTTTAAATATATTAATTCATTTCTGTTAAATGTTGAAAGTGTTTTGGAGATGTCGGCTTGTCCATTATCACGATAGGCGCCACTACAACGGGTTAGGTTTTGGGTCGTGACATTTCTATAGCAATACGAATAATGGATAATGTGGAACAATGGCGTCTTTTATAGGAATGACTGATTTTTTTTTTTTTTTTTTTTTTTTTACATGGATTCATGCAATAAATCTGAATCACATACCAACTGGAAAAGAATAACTAAACGAAGCATATTGTTGTCTGAAAAAGGTGACTACTGTATGAAACATATTGTTGTCGAAGAAGATGTGGGCGCAAACTGTTGTCCAAGAAGGAGTAGGCTACTAAGAAGAAGTAGGCGGTGAGGAGAGTATAATTTATGGAATACCATAAGCAGATTTTATGGAATACAAAGTTTTGCTCCTCGCTATCTTTAGTTTATGGAATACCATAAGTATATTAATCATTTGTAGACTACAAAAAGAAAAGAAATTAAACATATTTGTAGAAAAATACAAGTAGCTGTCTACCAAGAAAAAGTAGTCGACAAGGAGTAGAGTCCAAAATGAAGGAGTTCGAAGAAGAATAAAGAATTTGACTCAAAAGCGACTTCATACGATCGACTTTTTAGGCCCAGTGTAGGTGTAGTTTGAATGGAAAAGAAATCTAATCTTAGAAGATTTACAATCATATCCTTAAATTATATAAATATTGAAGGTTATAAAAGTCGATCAATATTTTAGGGATATTTTTGTCGTTCAACATTTAGCATAAATTATTCGTGTTTTTATAATAATATAGATATAGATATAGATATAGATAGATATAGATTAACTTAATAGTCGCTCATCCAACCAATTAAATTACAAATAGTTTGTGGATGTATAATATATATATATAATCAATATATGATATGTGTATAATAGTGTAGAATCAATATATAATCTAGTACACTGTCTGGATTTGACCGGCTATTTGTGTAATCCTTTACCTTTTGGTTAATTGTTGATTTTCTTAGGTGCCTTTTGGGAATATCTTTAATACGATTTAGTGGGAGAGACTAGATGAAAAGACCAAAACAATACATCATATTTGGCTTTACAATCAAAGTCATACATATTCTTTCACATGGAGCACTATTAGTACTCCATGTAAATGTACTATTAGTGCTCCATGTGAAAGAATATGTATGACTTTGAATCTAAAGTCAAAGATCATGTATGGTTTTGGGCTTTTCCTCGAGAGACTCCAATAAAGGTTCTGTACGTAGGATTTACCAAATAGTAGTTTAAACAAAGAAGCACTTTAGTGTTAAATAAAAAATGTTAAGTTTCTAACAAAAGTTTTATAGTTTAGTTTGATAGGGATGGTATATTTTATGCCTAAAAGCAATTTGTCACTACTCATTACAATTTTATACGGTAAGACCATCTCTAATCTTGCTCCAATTTTTATGCCAAATGCTATTTTGGGGTAAGTGGAAGCAAAGAAGGCGGCGTACCTGAAGTTAGTAGGGAGCATAGGTGAGGAGGAGAGGCGAGTGTGCATGGATAGATATAAGGCAGCTAGGAAGGAGGCTAAGCTGGCGGTCACAGAGGCTAAGACTGCGGCTTATGGTCGTATGTACGAGGAATTGGGGGAAAAAGGTGGGGAGAAGAAGTTATTCCTGCTGGCCAAGTTGAGAGAGAGGAAGGCTCGAGATTTGGACCAAGTGAGATGCATCAAGGACGAAGATGGTAGAGTATTGATGGAAGATGCCCAGATTAAGAGGAGATGGCAGACTTACTTTCGTAAACTTCTGAATGAAGAAGGGGATCGGGATATTGTGCTAGGCGAATTGGAGCATTCCGAGAGTCACCGTGACTTTGGGTACTGCAGGCGTATCGAGGTTGAGGCGGTCGTGGGAGCTATGCGTAAGATGAGTAGGGGCAGAGCGACCGGGTCAGATGGGATTCTGGTGAAATTTTGGAAGTGTGTGGGGAGAGCAAGTTTGAAGTGATTGACTAGGTTGCTTAATATTATTTTTAAGGGGAAAATGATGCCGGATGAGTGGAGGTGGAGTACGGTGGTTCCATTGTATAAGAACAAAGGTGATATCCAGAGTTGTAACAATTATAGGGGTATCAAATTATTGAGTCATACCATGAAAGTGTGAGAGAGGGTGGTTGAAGCGAGAGTGAGGATGGCAGTGTCTGTATCCGACAACCAGTTCGGGTTCATGCCGGGTCGTTCGACTACAGAAGCTATACACCTTGTTAGAAGGTTGGTGGAATTATACAGAGAGAGGAAGAAGGACATACACATGGTGTTTATTGACCTAGAGAAAGCGTATGACAAAGTTCCTAGAGAAATTCTCTGGA